TCTTAATATCACTGATTATCAGGAAAATGCAAATCAAACTCACGATGCTGTGGTATCTCACACCTATTAGAATGGCTATTATCAAAAAACAAAGGTAAGTGTTGGTGGGGATGTCGAGAAATTGGAACCCTTGTACACTGTTGGTAAAAGTGTAAAATGGTCCAGCATCTATAAAAAACAGTATGAAATTTCCTCAAAAAGTTAAATACAAAACTACCATTTGATCCAATTATCCCGCGTCTGTGTATATGTACAAAGGAATTGAAAGGAGGATCTTGAATTATTTACAATAGCCAAGATATAGAAACAACCTAAATGTTCATCAACTTATGAATGGATAAAGAAAATGTATTATATATGTACAATAGGATATTAGTCAGATTTTTAAAAAAAGGAATTCCTGCCATATGCAACAACATGGGTGAATCTGGAGGACATAATGCCAAGCGAAATAAGCCAGTCACAGAAGGACAAATACTGAGTGATTCCACCTTTTTTTTTTAATATGAGGTATTTAAAATAGTCAAACTCATAGAAACATAGAATAGCATGGTGGTTGCCAGGGACTGCAGGGAGTGGGAAATGGGGAGTTGCTGTTCAACAAGTATAAACTTTCAGTTATAAAAAATAAATAAGTTCTAGAGATCTGCTCTATAACACAGTGACTATAGTTAATAATAATGTATTATGCACTTAAAAATTTGTTAAGATGGTAGATCTCATGTTAAATCTTCTTACCACAACAATGATAATAATAATGAACCCAAACATATATATCACAGTAAGGTTTAGAGCTAGCTGCAAGTATGCAGAGTCTGCCTGAATAGTTATAGCCCACTTTTCTTAAACGCCATAAAGAACTGTTTTGGGGAAAAGTGATTTTAAAGGTCCAGAAAGAATGAAAATATGAACAGGGACATATGGATTTATATTAAGTAAGAAATTTCCTATAAAGAACATCCAATTTCTACTTTCTAATATCACATCCTTTATACACTTCCCCTTATTCATTTCCATGGCTGCAAATTGCATATGGTTTGGTTTGGCCAACACTTTGAAATTTCAATTTTCTCCTAATAGAGTTACACTTGCATTTATCACAAATATATGTGAAATTTTGATGATGGTATTGATAGCTGCCTACGTGCTGTGACCTGGTGGGAAAAGAAGGGTCCTGAAGGTATACTGCAGACCAGCTTTATGGATTTAATCTCACCTAGGACCTGCCCTCTGGAGACCTGGTAAGAAGCTACAGCGAATGGTTGTGTTCCAGAGGTTAGAGAATGCAGATAAAAAAATAGCTACTGTACTCAGCACAGCAAATATTTAGTACTTCTTGATGACAAGAATCAATGCTATTGGAAACAGTTAACTTCTCTCCTAACTTTGAGAAGGATTACGCATTGCTAGAGGGTGGGAATCAGCATTATCATCTTCCTTTCTACTTCAAACTACCATTACTTAATAGTGTATTTGCTCCTTCTGAGTGTTTCACATGCAGTAGCTAATTTAAACCTCACAACAACCTTATGAGGAAGGCAATGTGAAATTTTCCACTTCAAAGATTTGAAAACTGAGGCACAAAAGGGAAATTTCCTAGAGACACACAACCAGTAAATAGCAGAGCCTGAGTTTAAAGGAAGAGTGACTCCCTAAGTCCAAGCTTTTTACATATTCTAAAAGGATGCCATGGAAATTGAGGTGTAGGTCAGCTTCCTCAACTCTTTCTGGCTAATTAGTTCTGCCCTCCTGAAGTCAACTTGAAGGTACCTTTGAAATCAGTCCTCCCTCCAGACATCAGCCATTTAAACAGCCTCTCACCACTTCTACTAGAAAGACACAGAAAAGTCAAGCTGATATGATTCATTCCGCCTAGTTACTAAATGGACACTCCATAGCAAACTTAAGGATTTGGGGACTTGGGTGTAACTATTATCATGGGGATCACTAATAAAACTTTTGGAAAAAACAGATTTACTTGAGACAAATAGAATCATCTACTATAAAATATGCTGCTAACTTGGTTTCCTATCTGTGAAGTTAAAACTATTTCATTAATTACATATATGATATGATATGTAGGTGAAGCATAGTTTTGACTACAAATGCTTCTCCCAAGAGTTGTTGAGCACTTCCTAGCCATAGAGAGCTAAGTTAATCCTAGGGTTATATTTTCTTATTCATTCTACCTCTTTGACCTCTGCACTTCTGCCTACATTTATGCGAGGGTTTTGTGGTCACTTTCCTATATTTGTGCGTGTTTAATAGTGTAAGAAAGAAATGATTCTGGAGGTTCTTGTGTCAACTGTTTGCCTTTCTGCACACTGGGATGGTTTGTTTCCTATCTTTTAAGAAAGCCCTTAGGATATAACAGTTCCACCACTTCTTAGCATTGTGACCTCTGTCACATTACCAATCTTCCTGTGTCTCAGTTTGCTCAAGTATAAAATGAGTTTAAATTGTAGTCACTTAATAGGGCTGTTGTGAGGAGGATTAAATGAGTAAATACACAAAATGGGTTTGGCCTAGTGCTTGATACAACATAAATACTAAATATACATTATTATTAATTATTATATTATTATGATTGGGGAGGGACTAACTTCCTCATAAAGCATCACCAAAATATCATCAAGGAAACAAAACTCACTCTTAGGGACTTTAGGGTTTGATAGAATCTGAGATATTTTAGAATATAAGTTCCTTATTTCATAATAGCTAACACATATTGATCACTTACCACATGCCAGGCATTGAGCTATGCACATTATATACATAATCTCATTTCATCTTAATTATAACTCTGCAGATAACCAAAATGTACTACAGAGAAATTAAGTAATTTGTCTAAGTCCTTTCTTTAGAAGGAATTGAGCTTGGGTTTATAAACGTCTATAAATATGTATTGTTATGTGCTTGGTTTAACTAAGCAACAATGGCTCTCACATTTAAATATCTATCATTTTCCAAAGTTTTTTTAAAGTGCCATACTATTGAAATGAGAAGTTGTTCATTGTGCTAGATGCCATGACAATTGAAATGAGAAGGTATTTCAGTTACAGCATTCTGGATTTCATGAACCAGTACAAGTGAAAAAAAAAAAAAAAAAATAGGAGCTGACCTCAGTGGTACACCTATATAGTCCCAGCTGCTCAGAGGCTGAAGCAGGAGGATCACTTGAGTCCGAGAGTTTGAGTCCAGCTTGGGCAAGAGAGGAGACCCTGTCTCTAAAAGAAAAAAATCAAAAAGAAAAAGAGGAGAGGATGAGACCTGATGCAGGTACAACTCCTCTTTAAATTGAATAAATACAGTAAAAACACCACCATGTTGCTACTGTTTTTTTTCTTTTGCTAAGGATTGATACAAACTTCATTATATATCAGGTGAACTAAATAAGAGGTTCAAGAACTAGAATTTGATTGACTCCTTGGCAAAATCTTTTCCTTTTTTTTTGCATTCTTTAAAAATTTTTTAATTGACAAAAATATATTTATGGTGCACAACATGATGCCTTGAAATACATATACATTGTGTTATGGCTAAATCAAACTAAATAAACTATGCATTACCTCACACACCATTTTTTAGTAGTGAGATACCAGTATTTTCAGTAATCTACAAATCAAAATAGTATATAAGGGCCATATTACTTTTTAAAAATTACATCTAATTGTAGTTCTCGTCCACATTTATTCTATACTTTGTTGCTCCATTCTCTGTACTCTCACACACTTTATTCATTTCTCACATAATTTTAAGATGGAGATTTCAAATGAATTACTATGTTTCATTGTGATTTACCTGTTTACATGTCTCTACACATGTTTGATGCACAGTGCCTGGTAGATCCTATGAACTAAAGTTGTTGAATGAAGGAATAGGATTTACATATATAAACAAGTACATATATCAAAATTTATGTTAATACCCAATTTATATGTATTCTATAATATTCATCCATAATATTACATATTTATGTATATTATATATACAGCTCCATATAGATCACTGCTAAATTCAAAATGATATTCAATGCTACTCAAAAAATTCTAAATGATATATTTGGAACCCAAAAATATGTTACACATATCCATTTTTACTTTTTTTTTTTTTTGAGACAGAGTCTCGCTTGTTGCCCAGGCTATAGTGAGTGCCGTGGTGTCAGCCTAGCTCACAGCAACCTCAAACTCCTGGGCTCAAGCAATCCTACTGCCTCAGCATCCCGAGTAGCTGGGACTACAGGCATGCACCACCATGCCCGGCTAATTTTTATCTCTATATTTTTAGTTGTCCAGCTAATTTATATATATATATATATAAATTTTTTTTTTGTAGTAGAGACGGTGTCTCGCTCTTGCTCAGGCTAGTCTCGAACTCCTGAGCTCAAACGATCCACCCGCCTCAGCCTCCCAGAGTGCTAGCATTTTTAAATTTTATAATAACTTACAAACTAGAGTTACCACACACTCTCAGACACACACACAATTAACAGGCTATTTACCACAGAGTCATTCCAAGATTGGAGAAACACTGCATAATGTAGAAGTTTGGAGATTCAAGTCAGGCAAACAATTCTGCATTTGAATTGTCTAGCACTACCTGAGTGACTTCGGCTGTCACTTTCTGAACCTGCATTTCCTGTGATGTGGAGATATTTAATGCCATGTTAGGGAATTGGTTTAAGGACTGCAGGTAACGTAGGTTAAGGGCTTGACACAAGCCTGAAGAATGTTAGCCAGTAGTCACTTCATCTCTCTAGATTTCCTTCCTCAGTGGTAGACTAAAGATGTTTAATTTTTTTTTCTTTTTTACACATTATGAGTCTTTTGCAGTCAGGGAAACTTACACTGCTTTCAACTTTGGCAATTTAGAGAGTTCAAATAAAACTGTAAAGACAAAAAATAACCCGCCTTTACCTAACTCAGGACTGCTAAGCCCACAAGAAGCGCTGGGAGGACCTCCAATATCCCAGCATTCCTCGCGCGGCTCCCGTAGTTCTTTCCTCGAGTCTCTATGGTAGCAACTACCTCGGAGGCTGCGGGGACGGTGGCTGCCGCGTTGAGGAAGAGTGAGGCTTCCAACTTTCCTACTGATCTGGGAGGTACTGGGCGCAGAGGGTCGCGATGTCAGAGAAAAAGCAGCCGGTAGACTTGGGTCTCTTAGAGGAGGACGACGAGTTCGAGGAGTTCCCTGCCGAAGGTAACCGGCTGGGTCCCCTGGCTTCTGGGCCGCGCGGACGGTGACTCAGGCCTCCGGGTGGAGGCGGCGGCGCGGTGTCTCGGGCCCGGCTCGGGGGACCTGCGGGAAGTCTGGGCCCCCGCGGCCCGGCTCTCTAGGCCGTGAGGCTCCGCCCTCAGTGTCCCCGACTTCGGGTTCGGAGTGTCATGGTGGGACTCTACGGCAAGGCCCAGAGGCTTCAGCTTCCTTGCTGGGAGGAGGCACGGTGATCCCGGACCCCTATCCGGGATGGTTGGTCCTTTTACTCTTCAGCCGGGTTTCCCACCACTTCTTTCGTGTCTGCATAACCTCCTTTCCCCTTTCCTTCGGTTTGGCAGCCGCCTTTTGCCTTTAAACCTTCTAGAACTAAACTCTTGTCCCTAGTCATGCGAATGCTGCTTACTTTTAGGACATCTCAAGTGGAGCCTGCTAAGTTGGATGGGAGGATCAGGTGTTGAGTGCTTATCAGAAGTTACTGCCTTACTCCTGTTCCTCGCCACTTTGAACTAACAAGTTCAACGCTTTATAAGACCCTAAAACTTCTACATTTTTATTAGAAGTTAAAGTTCCTCTTTTATTAAAGAGGAACTTTAGTTTTGTCATTGTTGGTAATAGCAGATAGCTAACATGTTATTGAGTGGCTGCTGTTTTCAGGAACTTGTCTCAGTGTTTTGTATTAACATTCCATTTTCACAAATACAGAAAGTAGGTACTGGTATTGCCATTTTTCAGATAAATAAACTGAAGCTTTGTAATAGTTAAGAAACATTCTTAGTGTCTCATATTGGCTAGAAATGATGGAATTGGGAACACCTGGCCTAATTGATAGCAAAGTTCTTAACTTTGGTTCTGTTTGTTAGATCGCTGTTGTCTGTTACATCTTCAAAATTGGCTGCTTTATTGACTAGTTGTTATGAGTAGGATTCATAAATATTTACCGTATAAGAAAAGGAGGTTGCTACTGAGTAGCCTTTCCGAAGGTAGTGGTAAGAGAATTGTGGTTAATGGTGTACACATATCTGTTGCATCAAGCAATTAGCACTTCACTAAAATTGTCCTAAGTTGTATACCCCATCATGGTCCTATTGTGCATAAAACCACAGAGCTGGAGCATTTGTTCTATTTATTTATAGTGTACTCTATTATTTTGTTTAGTGGAAGAGAACATTAGTATGCATACTACACAAACTCATAAACTAACCCAAAACACGTTTCAGTTCTGGAATTCATTATATTGTGAGGATTGTTAGGGTTTTTTTGTTTTGTTAGTGGATTTATCTGTTCAGTCATGTTTTCTTTACCTCACTTTCACGTTGGTTCATAATCCTCCAAGGTAGAGCTGTGTAGTATAAAGCTGGCTTATTGAAGGCAGGATCCCATTTTTACTCAAACTTTGTTTCAAATATTAGCATTATTGTCATATACAAGGGACAATGTTAGGCACCTTATTTACATGATACAGTCTACTTATCACTGACATCCTGAGGAAATGGGAGGCTCAGAGATAAAATAAAAAACAAAAAAACAGTTTACCATTAACTGTCTAAGCAAGTATTTGAAAGGTCTGACTCCCCAATCCAAACTTATCCCTAACATTTAGCAAAGTACCTGACCTGTAGCAGGTGGTCAGTAAATGATTTTGAATGAATGAAGCTGCATTTAAAATAAGGAGTTAGTTGAGAATTGATAGCTTGAAAAGGACTTAGAGATAACAATGTACCTGATGATATACTTGATTTTTTTCAGCCACTTTTGTCAGCTTTCTTTGAGTGTATAGTTTATCCTTGCTCTACAAAGTTTTTGTTGTGAGCAGCAATTTATTTAAAATGTTGGTAGTTACAATAGTAAAAAAATATCATTAAAGTTAAAAGGAAAAGCAAAAAAAAAATATTTTTTCTGAAGACAGGACTCAAAATAGAGTGATGTATTAGCATCAAGTAATTCACCATTTGTTAGTCTTTTTGCAGAATATTTGTTTTCAGGTTTGAATATATAGAACCTAATTCATTCAGGACAATTTCTATTTTAGAATAAGAAACATTTGAAATGCCTTTATTTTGTTCAGGTTTCTGTGTTTCTTCTCTGAGTTATGATTTAGATAGATTTTCCTTAATTTGAATTGGTGAGATTTTGCTGGATACAAAATCAGTGAGACCACTCATATTTACCAATGAAAACTGTTCTGATAAATAACAAAAACTAAAGGGGAAAAAAAATCTTGGAAAAATCGAAAGAATTATTTATCTTTTCAGACTGTACGTTTCTTTCATGTTTTGGACTAGTAATGGTTTAGGGTCTGTTACTCCAAATGTAAACCATGGACCAGCAGTCTTGTTATTTCCTGGTAGACTGTTAGAAACACAGCATCTCATTCTTCACCCTAGACTAACTTAATCAGTTTGAGTTTTACCAAGATACCTAAGATTTATATGCACATTAAAGTTTGGAAAATTCAACTTTAAAATAGTGGCCTATTTTGAATCTTTCAGTATTTGAGTTTTCAGTTCAATTGCCAATGCCCTGATTTACTTTCAAGTTCTTTCCCTTCTTTGGAAAGTTCTTTTTCTTGTGATTATCTTTATGGTAAGTGTGCTATTGACAAACTCACTGACATATAAATTAAAATTCCTGTTGTTAAGGCAGCCTGTAATCATCTCTGCAGTCTATAGAAGGTCTTACTTTCAAAGGCTTTGTTGAGTCTCAGGTGCTCCAGAACGTGGATGATGTCCATTTTAGGGTAGCTTGCAGTAAAGAGCTTGACATATGAAAGTCATTACTGAAATTATGGATTGTCCATCTTTGGGTGTGTTGTAGCTACATCTTATTCTGGACAAGAACTTGTTTGGTAGGATGTCCATTTAATCATTTTAAGGGAAGAGAATTTTTATTTTAAAAAGGAAACTAAGCATTTTTTTTTAAAATTTTATTATATTATGGGGGTATAAATATTGTTAGGGTTACATATATTGCCCCTGCCATTCCCCCCCCTTACCAAAACATCAAGCATGTCCTACCCTCAGGTGGTACGCATCACACCTAAGTGTAAATTCTTTTCCTCCTCCCCCCTCCCATTTGCCCACCACCCGATAAAAGTTTTTGTTGTTTGTTTTTCCCTCTTTTTTTTTGACCTTTGGGTTACATTGTATATCTTTGCCTTTCCCTTGGAAGAGTTAGAAGTATTCCCCCCCTCACATACACTATGCTCGCCACAACTCTAAGATGTGTATCTCCCCCTCCCCCAAACTCTAGTGGGCACTATCACCATTTGAGCACCATAGTTTTAATCAGTCAGTACCAATTTGATGGCGAGTAGATGTGGAGCCCTTTTTCTTGATCTTGCGTCACCTCACTTTGGATAATGGGTTTAAGCTTAATGCAGGATAGCATAAACGGTGCTAGCTCACTGTCATTTCTTAGAGTTGAATAGTATTCCATTGTGAGCATATACCAAATTTTAGTTATCCACTCGTGAACTGACGGACACTTGGGTTGTTTCCATGATCTTGCAATAGTGAATTGTGCTGCCATAAACATTCGGGTGCAGATGTCTTTATAGTAGAATGTAAGACAGCATGTTTTAATGGAAGTCTCATCATTTCTTCTTAGTAGTTCTTTGGTGTAAAGTGTGACATCTCTAAGTATTCTCTGAAAGTACGAAGGAATAAATGCTCCTTTTTCTTCCATTCTATGAGTCTGTTACATTGGTGGTTCCTCACAATTCTAATTAATGGGTGTGTAATCTACTGATTGTTAAGCAGGAATTGTTAAAAATCATGTTTAGGATCTTTGTGAAATCATTATCCAACTTCTTGACAATTTAAACTGCTTGAGAATAGGCTTTTTTAGGAAGACATTCAAGGTCTTGGGTGGGCATTATTGATTTTAATATAATTTTGAAGACTTTGAAATGGTTAGGATTTTAAAACTGGAGAGCAACTTAAAGTTTAGAAAAGATTTCATTTTTCATCCATTATATGGTTTAGGTTGGTGATGATAGAGTCTAAAAGTGAAGTACTCAATAATTAATCTGAAACTTTGAATACTTTTTAATATCAGATGCTGAGTTTTAAAAAATATTTTCATTAATTTCCTTTCTCTGACAATTAGAAGTGATTGAGTGTAAAAGTGGGAAGAAAATAAGTGGTCCTTTAGATTTTTAAATTCTCTTCCTGTGCCAGAATGGAGGTATTTTGTTTTGTTTCAAGGGAAAAGTTTTTTTTAGAATATTTAAAGTGAAATTGAATTTGCCTGCAGCATCAATAGTATTAATATTTGCCAGAGAGTAGTGCTATACTAAATATTGTATAATCAGTGAAACTGCTGTATAGTCAAAAGAATTCAGGAGCAGAATACCACCCACTTCTCTGTCCCCTTGAGAAATTTCTGGATAAGACACTGTTATTGATGGGAATCTGTTGAGGCAGACAACAGGCCAGTGATATCCCCTTATACTCCCAGCCTTCTGGAATAACCGAGGCACTCTCACCTCCTAACAAAGTTGGACATCTTTTACTGATTCTTAACTGAGGGAGTGTTTTTAAATGTTACATTCCCTTGACAGATGTAAGTGAAAAAAGTGCCAGCATCTAGTGGGTAGAGCCCAAGGATTTTAAGTGTGTATTATACATAGACCTGCACAAGGAAGAATTGTCTTATGAAAAATGCTATTGGGAAATACTTACATGAACACTGTATACAACTGTGCTAAACAGCCAATAGAAGGGTTTCTTAGAATCTTAATGCAGAAGGTAAATGCAACCAATATTGATAATGTCAACCATGTTAGTCAATTTACCTGGTTCCAGAGTGGCTTTGCTGTTTGCCTTTATTAAATGTAGTATAGTAGACATATTAATACTATCAAACATTTAAATTAGTTAAATGGTGGTAGCAAGAAATGGAAAATTCATGTTACTAAAAATTAAGGAAAAACAGATAAATCTATATAATGAATGGCAGAATACTTATTGAATGTCCATTAT